ACACGTAAAAAGATATCAAGCTACTTTGAAGTGTCTGAGTATCTTGTTCGAACAGCAAGAAAAGTTAAAATTGAGAATGGAATTCTATCATTACCCGGAAAAAAAACTGGAAACCCACTTTCACCAGAAACAGTTAATTTAGGGATTAACTTTTATCAAAGTGATGAATTTTCAAGAATGATGCCAGGAAAAAAAGATTATGTAAGTATTAAGAAAAACCAACATGTTCAAAAAAGATTATTGCTACTCAATCTTAATGAATTACATGTTGCATTTAAAAAAGACTACCCTAACGTCAAAGTTAGTTTGTCAAAGTTTTGTACTCTTAAACCTAAATGGTGTATTACAACTAATGCGTCAGGTACCCACAATGTATGTGTTTGCATACATCACCAAAATACAAAATTTCTCATTGACGCCATTAGGTGGAATAAAAGTTATAAAGATTTCATGGCATTGATTGTTTTCTCTCTTGAAAATGCAGAATGTATGTTGCATCGATGTAACCAATGTCCTGGTATTGAAGCGTTAAAAAGTTTTTTAGTGCAGGAGTTTATGGACCATGAGCATGAAGAAGATGTAGTATTTAAGCAATGGCAGAGTACAGATCGTACAACACTACTTTCACAGTCATTGCCACTAGATGAATTTATTGATTTATTATGTGACAGTATTGACAACCTTACCACTCATTCATATATTGCAAAAACACAAAGTAGATACTTAAAAAACTGTAAAGAAAATCTTAACCAAAACAAATGCTTAATTTTAGGAGATTTTGCTGAAAACTATCAATATGTTGTTCAGGATGAGGTTCAAAGTTATCACTGGAGCAAAAGTCAATGCTCACTTTATACAGTTGTACTTTATTTTATAGAGAACAAACTTCTCAAACATAAATTTTTTTGTTACCTTTCAGAAGATGTTGATCATGACACAGGATTTATTTACAAGACTCAGGAAGATATAACTAGATATATCAAAGAAAATCTACCTGATGTATCAAGTGTGAAATACTTTTCTGATGGTTGTGCAGCACAATATAAAAATTTTAAAAATTTTATCAATCTTTGTCATCACAGTAAAGACTTTGATTTAAATGCTGAATGGGTATTTTTTGCTACCAGTCGTGGTAAATCCCCCTGTGATGGTATTGGTGGGACTGTTAAAAGAGTAGTATGTCAAGAAAGTCTAAAACAAATAACTACTGGGCAGATTTTAGATGTTAATTTAATGTACTCCTTTTGTAAAGCCAAGATAAATGGAATTTATTTTAAGTTATTTTCAAAAGAAGAAATTGATCAAACACGAGCACAATTAGAAAAAAGATATTTAGGTGGAAGAACAGTTCCTGGCACAAGGATGTATCATCATTTTATTCCAATTGTTCCATACACTATAAGTTATAAAAAAATAAGTATTGATGCATGCACTGAAATATTTGATATCATTCCAAAAAGCAAACATTATGTAGATATTTCATTAAATATTAAAAAAATGGATTATATTGCATGTTTTTATGATGGATTTTGGTGGGTAGGGATTGCTGAAGATGTAAGTGAGCTTGATATAAAAGTCAGATTCATGCATCCACATGGACCAGGTAAAAACTTCTTTTGGCCAATAAGAACTGATGAGTGTTGGGTGCTCAATTCTGAAGTTATATGCCTAATTTCTACACCCACAACAATATCAGGTCGTACATACAACATAACTGATTTAGATTTAATATAAACTGTTGGTTACAAAAAAAAATTAATTATGCTTAAAATAATTTTGTTTTTATTTTATTTACCTAACTTGCATTTTAAATGTCTTTTATTTTTTTCAAATCCTTGGATTGTAGGCTGAGAAGGAGGGGTGGGGGTTTAAATAAATCACAAATCACTCCCATCTTATTATGTCAATGACTATATTAGTCTAAAACAACATAAAGATATTTATTGTCAATATGTTTTTAAAACATTTTAAAACATTTGTTTTTGAAATTTATGACTCAAAATCGTAAAAAGATCTTTGAAATAAGAGGTAAGTATTTATCGATTTGAAGTAACGCAAATAAATCGTTTCTCAAACTTAAACTGAAAAAATATGTTTTTAAAATGTATTTTAACAATCAACATTTATTTATTATTTTTTATGTAAAAAAAAAAAAAAAAAATCTAGGGAGATTTGGGGAGGGGGCAGAGGGGCCTCCCATGGGTAGGGAGGGCATCTCCCTTGGCCCATGACTTTAAATGTTTATTTAAATTTAAACTAGTCAATAAGTTACTCTATTTGATTTTTTATTCAAATAAATGTTTAAAAAAATATTTTAATTGCTTTTGTTACAAAATTTAAATTTTTCTAAAAAGACACCATTTTTAAATGCAAATTTTGATCACGTATTAGAGAGACAATTGATGAATCTAATTTTTTTCAGTAGACCTAAGATGAAATTATGATATACAATTAAAATTTTTACTCAGGATTTTGGGCCACAGTCTTTATTTTACCTCCAAAAATCACTAATTTACAAGTCAATAATTTTGACTTAAATTTAAGAGTGCTATTTTTGGATTCCTTAAGTTAAAATCTATTAGAGTACCAAATTTTAGGAAATTTCCCCAAGCCATTATGAAGATACTGTATGTCAAAGTTGCTTTGTAGTCACCTTTATTTCAACTGACGATATCTCTGGAACCCATTGGTATTTTCAACTAAAATTTTTGCAGTTATTATTTTTTTGATATGGACTGCAAGTGGTGTAAAAATAAACAAATTCTAAGACGTAAGGGTGTCAAAAATTTTTTTTTTTGGATGATTTCATATATTTTTACCCGGTAGTTATTCATTTAAATTTATAGTTTAGTATTTATTTTATTTTTTGTCAGATGTTTACACAGACTTTTTTACTATTTATTATAAATAGGATTTAGCATGCTTTTTAATACTTTTAAACTCACGCGATGGGGTACTCTCAAAACTTAATAATCTGTCAATATATGCTTAATCAGTAATAAGATCGAAGACTTTGCTTCATCAGCTTAATTTGTCATAAAATCAACAATTTTTATTTGGTAATTTCTGTAGTAAAGGATGAACCTTATGTTATGTTATTTTTGAATTAGTAAAGTAACTTTTAAAGCCAGGTAAGTAACTTTTAAAGTCGGGTAGTAAAGTAACATTTAAAGGCATATAAAAATAACACAATTCAAGTCCTTTGTCAATTGTATTTAAAGTATATTCTGTAATTTTTAATTTTTAAATTAGAAGACGATGATGAATCTAGAAGACATTGCTCTTTTCAAAGGTCAAGAGGTCAAACTCTTGATAAAGCTAGTGTTTATCTCCAAAATCTCACACCGTCAACTCTATGTTACATGTTTAAGAACAAGATCGTTTAATGCCTTATTTTAAGGAAGTTAAAAAAAATCTGATTGAACAATCAAACAACTTTTTTAAAAAAAAATTTTAAAAAGGTTGTTTGATTGTTTAAACAGTTGTTAAATATTTATTACAAGGTATGTCATTAAACAAATATTAGAAAAATAAGGTTGTATTTGTAAAGTTTCTAATTTATAGATTTTTCTTAATTTATATATTTATTTATATTTGTGTGTTATTTCTTATATGTTTATATGTGTTACTTATTATATGTTTTATGTGACTTGGTTTTGTTGAGAACAAGAATGTTGTTTGTACCAGTAAAGTGGTGTACTGTCATGATGAAACACATAAATTAAATCTGTTTGTAGTTATTACTGTTTGTAGTGTAATCATAAAATATGTTTAAAAAATATTGTTGAAGGAATTTGTTTAAAGGAAATGTTTAAAAGATATATAACCATATATCTTTTTAAATACCTATAATTTTTTTAATATTTATAATTTTAAGTAAATTTTATTGAAATGAAAAACTTCATTAAATATTTTTATACTGTTACTTTTTAAGTAAAAACTGTTCCTTTTTTGTTAACAATTTGCATTTTGTTAATTAAAAAAAAAGTTTGTGTAAAAGATGTATACTCTATTCTTTTTTGTTAACAATTTATGCTTTTGATGATAAATAAATACATATATACACATTTTATTTTTTCTGCATTGTATTAGTGCATTAATTTTTTCTGCATTGTATTAGTGCATTAATTTTTTCTGCAATGTATTAGTGCATTAATTTTTTCTGCATTGTATTAGTGCATTAATTTTTTCTGCATTGTATTAGTGCATTAATTTTTTCTGCATTGTATTAGTGCATTAATTTTTTCTGCATTGTATTAGTGCATTAATTTTTTCTGCATTGTATTAGTGCATTAATTTTTTCTGCATTGTATTAGTGCATTAATTTTTTCTGCATTGTATTAGTGCATTAATTTTTTCTGCATTGTATTAGTGCATTAATTTTTTCTGCATTGTATTAGTGCATTAATTTTTTCTGCATTGTATTAGTGCATTAATTTTTTCTGCATTGTATTAGTGCATTAATTTTTTCTGCATTGTATTAGTGCATTAATTTTTTCTGCATTGTATTAGTGCATTAATTTTTTCTGCATTGTATTAGTGCATTAATTTTTTCTGCATTGTATTAGTGCATTAATTTTTTCTGCATTGTATTAGTGCATTAATTTTTTCTGCATTGTATTAGTGCATTAATTTTTTCTGCATTGTATTAGTGCATTAATTTTTTCTGCATTGTATTAGTGCATTAATTTTTTCTGCATTGTATTAGTGCATTAATTTTTTCTGCATTGTATTAGTGCATTAATTTTTTCTGCATTGTATTAGTGCATTAATTTTTTCTGCATTGTATTAGTGCATTAATTTTTTCTGCATTGTATTAGTGCATTAATTTTTTCTGCATTGTATTAGTGCATTAATTTTTTCTGCATTGTATTAGTGCATTAATTTTTTCTGCATTGTATTAGTGCATTAATTTTTTCTGCATTGTATTAGTGCATTAATTTTTTCTGCATTGTATTAGTGCATTAATTTTTTCTGCATTGTATTAGTGCATTAATTTTTTCTGCATTGTATTAGTGACTTTTTTTTGGAATATTAAGTATATAAAAAAAATTAAAATAGTTCAAGAAGTTTTCGATGTTTCCAAGTTTCTTCACTAGAAACAATTATTTTGTTTATAGAGGTTTTCTTTTATTAGTTTTGTATTTACTTATTTATTGAAAATCTTGCATTAAAAACATTTCTAAGTAATGAGAGGGATTTTAAGATGGAGGATTACACTGTTCAATGCTAGCAGTACTTACAGAGCAGACAGGCCTTATAATTTTATCAATTTGCTTTATTTATGAGTTTTTATCCATAAATAAAATTTTTAATTACTTTTTATTTTAATTTTTTTTAATTAAATACTTATAATATTTTAAAACATCTTATTTAATTATGACTAATAGTAGAGTAGATTATAATTAGAATAATTATTATATATTATAATTAGAATAATTAATTATACTGTTTTATTTATATTAAAACTCACTGTATTTTAGATGAGTTTAAGAAAGAAAACTCAAAAAAAAGTTCTTTCTAAAAATAAAAGCTAAATTTTTATTATTTTAAGCATCATTTTTATGCACTCCTTTGATTCTTAACAATGTCTGATAATTTAAGAAGTAAAATTATTAGACTTACTCAAAATAAAAGAAACCACATTAAACGAGCTGAGATAAATTGTTGTCAAAACGAAAGAGATGAGCCAAGGCAAGCTGAGATAAATTGTAACCAAAATAAAAGAAACCACACTAAACGAGCTGAGATAAATTGTCGTCAAAATGAAATAGATGAGCCTAGGCGAGCTGAGATAAAATATAATCCAAATAAAAGAAATCAAACTAAGCAAGAACTCAATAGGTATAAGATGCATCGCATAGCAAATTTAGTTATTTTAATTCTATAGTTCTACTCAGGTGCTCTACCAACTACCATATGATTATTTTGTCTACTGTTAAAATATGATTTAAGCTAAATTTTGAATAATTAAAGTAAACTTTAATTATTTAAAATTTGCTAAGTTGATCATTAGCTAATAGTTTAAAAGAAAATTAGTTGTTGCAATCAAGGTAAGAATAATTTTATTTTTTGATCAAATTGCAAAATTTGTTTGCACTGATAGCTATTAAATTTTTGTTATTTTGTGTAATAGCTTATTGTTTTTGTAATAAACGTCTTTTCTTACAGAATTTGACAATGCTCTAGAAAAAGCATCAGCAACAGGTAAGTTAGTTTGTAGTGTTAATCTTTTATTATTTTATTGAGTGTTAATCTTAATTTATCATTTATCTATTTTTTTTTCATTTTAGACATATCTTACAAAGCTTTTGCAGCATATTGCAGATCAAATAGAGAACCCACTCTCATAAAGCACATATGGGCTTAAATTTAGGGCAAAATCTCTGCCCCCCTCCCCCCACTTTTTTTTTTTTTTAAAGTGGAAAGTAAAGTATGATGAGATAAAAAGATGGGAAAATAATATGCTACATCTATAATTATTATTTTTGTAGTTGGTTAATCTACGAATTGGTAATTAATAATGCAAATTTAGTTAAATTTTTTTTGTAAATACATACTTTTCTTTATATATTTTGTTTATTTATTATGTATAAATAAATTGATTTACATGTGGTGTATTTTTTTCCTTTTTTAATTTGATTACTTTTTAGATTACGTGTAGATGACGTGTTTGTTCAATATAGACACGCAATTTAAAACTATTAAAAATTGTTATGTTTTTTTAATTTGTTAATAAATCTGTGAATAAAAATATTTTTAACTTTATAAAGCTATTAGGCATTTTTTTGAAACCACAATCCGTCATTCGTAATTTATCTGCGTGAACGAAAGTCTATGCAAATATTTATGGCGATATTTGCTTAATTTTGATTAAAATGAAATTTTAAAAAGCGTTTATATTCTTTTTTATTAAGTTTTATAAAGGTTTATAAACAATTTAATACCGTTTTATAAAGTTCAATAAGTCTTTAGTTTATTAAACAGTGTTAAAAGATAATATTGTAGCATGCCAAAGTGGTTGAAGTAATTCGCGTGGGTCTACCCTTTTTGTTTTAACCATAGCGTTCTCTACTACAGGCCTATTCATCGTGCAACCGGATTTTTTTGTGGAGGCCTACTTTTTTACGGCAAAAAAAATATTTCAACACGTTCAGACCAGATACAATGTCATGTCGTTTATGATATATATTTAAATAATGGAATATAATACAATGTTATAAAATAAAATGTGACATTTAAAAATTTAATGTCAAAGTTTTAACAAAGTAAGCCTAGCATTGTATATGATAAAAAAAACTAGAAGGTTTTCTGAAATTTAGTTTTTAAAATACAGAGCTTCAAAGTATGAACAAAACATGTTTTTGCTACTGAAGTTTTTATTTTTGGAAAAATCAGAAACTTCAAATGGCCATATCTCATGAACCACATAAGATTTGAAGCTGAAATTTTCAGGAATTGCTTTTCTCATTGATTGAAGTTTCATCAAAATCTGAGGGGGTCCATGTTGGAATCCTAAAATTTTAGACCATTTGGCATGGAACGACCCATATATATATATATATATATATATATATATATATATATATATATATATATATATATATATATATATATATATATATATATATATATATATATATATATATATATATATATATATATATATATATATATATATATATATATATATATAATAATTAAAACTTTAATAAAACAAAAACACCACTAATTGAAAAAAACTTTCTAGTCATTATTATTGTGGTTATTTTAAAAAACAATAAAATTTAATGTACTTCCGCATTAATTTAATTGCTTTGACATTTCGACGACAATAAAATGCAGCTTAAAGAGACAAGGTAAAAAAATTGTTGTCGAAAGAGACTTTTTTTTACCATAAAAGTCTTTTTTGACTACACTATAAGGATATATATATATATATATATATATATATATATATATATATATATATATATATATATATATATATATATATATATATATATATATATATATATATATATATATATATATATATATATATATATATATATATGAGAGAATCCCAATAAAGGACTTCAATAATAACTTATTAAATTTATCAAGAAAAAAGAAAAATTATTAAAATTTATTTTTAGGTAACACTATTGTTATTATAAGTTTTATTAATACCTAAATAAGGAAAAAATAAAGAATAAACCAACTTAATTGACAATAAGGTAAAAGTTTAGCGATTCATCTAAAATCAATTATTAATATTGTCATTTATTGAAACTAATTGTAAAAATATCTGGTTTGAATAATAAATGTATTTACAGCAGAGTTTTTTAAACGATTAGAGAGTTTAAGCAAATTTGCGTTATGGCAGTGGTATGGAATAGGTAGGAATACAAAAGATTTTTTCGTAAATAATTAACAATTAATATAGGGAAATTTCTTTTCTAATGCATAGCAATTAAAATGCTAGAAATCTAAATTTTTACCGCTGCTTAAAAACATATATTACATAATTAATAAGTTTAAAACTTATACTTTTGTTTTGAGTGATTTAATTTCTTTTTTCAGTTACCATCTTTTGTAACTCATAACCCTGTCAACTTTAAATTTATAGTTAATTTTGATGTAGATTTTTTAGTAAGATCGCTTTGTTTATTTATAGCCCAGATTTTTTGGGAATTGTTTTCAGATATACTTTTAATTTTTAAATACTTTTAATTTATTATTCATTCATTATTATTCAGAAATACTTTCAATTTATTATTCATGACTTATTTTAAAAAAATAAGTCATTCACGTTTTTTGAAGTTCTAGTGGTAGCAAACTTGCTAGCATTTGTACTAACACCACCTGGAGAAAACGCATATATGCTCAAACTCGCTATTACACAATAACACTGTTAAATTGAGTTTTCACCTTTTATAAAAAAATATTCAATAACATAGAATTTTATATATAAGATGAATGTCTTATATATTAAATAAATTAAAAAAATTTTAAACAGAATTTAAAATGTAAATGTTTTAAATAATTAAAACATTAAAATAAAACAATAAAATAAAAACCTTTTCTCCAACACGAGTAATAAGTGATTCTAAACGATCTTCAACATCTAAAGGACCAACTCGAGTTCGCTTTCGTTCACGAGATCCTGAAACTGATAAAGTCATTAATTTTTAATTACAAAATTTTTTAATTAAACAGTATCTTATAATAAATATAAAAAATAAAATGAATATAATAAATAAAACATTTTTTCATACAAAAATTTATGAAAAATAAATTTAGAACAATCAGACATGTTGCAAAGAATAACAAAATGATTTAACATAATATAACTTAAATTAGTAATACATGCTTTGGCAGGAAGCAAAAGCTTTACCTCTTACTCTTATCCACACTCCACTTAAGTGGTTTATAGAAGCAACTTACAATTTATGCAAAAGAATAATTTTGTCATGAATATATATTCTTGACAAAACTATACTTTTGCAAGATCTGTAGGTTTTTAGAGAATAAGTTAAAGTTCTCGCATCTCACTTTAGGGGCCTTACTTAAAGTATGTATATAGATGGGAGGGGTTTCTAAACCATTGGTTTTACTGAGCATGTAAATTATAAATGCCTCCTTATCTCCTAATGAGCAGGCTTGGAGAGGAATGGCATGCAATAGAGCGCTTTTGCTGACTTTGCAAAAGATTTTTTTTCTTGACAACATGACCACAATTGCTTATATATTTGATGATTTAAACATTTCAGAAATACGCTGAATGTAGAAACGCTAAGCTAAACTTAAACTAGGAAAAATGTTTAAAAAAAACTAACAAAAAAAAAAATTAATGTCTAGTTAAAAAAAAGGTTTCTAACTCTTTTATTCGTAAAAATAGGAAAAAAATAAAAAAAATGTACCTGCAATTAAAATAAAATAAACTACTAACAAGCAATTTAATTTTAATTTGAGCATTTCAACTTTATTAACAAGCTCTTTACGTAAAAAATTTAAAATTGGAGAAGGAAAAAAAAAAAAATTTTTCTAAAATAAAATGCTTGTTTAAAAGAAAAATTTTATAATTAAACTTACTTTTTTAAAAAAAGTAAGTTTAATTATAAAAATTAATTGTATGAATATACAATTAATATTACAAAATGCTTCAAAACTTTTCCATTAATCAACAAAATATATCCTTATATAAGTAAAGTTATTTTATATTCTCAGGGCTCAATTTAATTTTTTATAAATTAAATTGAGCCCTGATTTATTCCCAGACAAAATGTCCAATCAAAACTTGTTTTGGTCAGTGTCCAATCAAATTTTTAAACCATAATTTTAATGGTTTTATGGAACCGAATTATGCAATCAAAATCTTTGTTACGTTATTCAGTTTATTTACCATTAGTCTAGTGAAGTTGTATTTTCTTTCCTTACTATTTAGAATAACTCATCGTAGATTTTTGTTTTTAATAAAATAGTTTCAATTTAAAATTGTACATTTTTATAGATAGATTGAAAATTTCACGCTGTAACTGACAACGCTTAATTTTTTTTTTCTTTACAATCAGTGGCATAGCTAGGTAACCAAGGGCCCTGGGCAAAGTAAAAAATTGGGCTGCTATGTAAAGTGATTAGGTTTTATCAAATAAAAATATGCTATGTAAAGTGATTAGGTTTTATCAAATAAAAATATGAAATATACGAATACTTTAAAAATGTTAAGCTACTTAGTTAGTTAGTTAATTTAAGTTACACAAAGCCACAGCCTTGTTAAACTCATCATCAGCTGAGTATACGCATCTATACCCGACTTGTATTTCGGCCACTTTTGTGTGGCATTTACGGTAATGATGAGTTGTAGCAACTATGATGACTGAAAACTGTCTAGTAGTTGTTTAAACTTATCAAGTGATGTTGCCTCGATGACATTATCTGGCAAAGCATTCCAGTCATTGACCACACGGTTGTTAAAAAACTAATGTCTGATTTCGCAATTCCTGACAATCTCGCGATGAAATCTGATTCGATGTTGAGCTCTAGGTGCTATGCTGCCAGGCATTACGTGCCAATCAATTAGGTTTAAATTGTTGAGAAGCTTATATTTTTGAATAAGATCACCTATTTTCCGTCTGTCTTCAAGAGTAGTTAATTTCATGATTTTACATCGAGTTTTGTAGTCTTTATTTTTCAAAGCATGAGGAACTTTTGTTGCATTGCGTTGTACCTTTTCAATTTTTTTTATGTCACTATCAAGGTAAGGGTTCCAGGCTTGTATGGCAAACTCCAGATGTGGTCTAATATATGCAGTATAAATTTTTTTCCAAATGTCAATGTCTCTTGATACAAACGTGTGTTTAAGAATTCCAAGCATATTATTTGCTTTGTTTGCAGCTATATTGCACAGTTGAGCATATTTAAGATTTTCGGAGATTAGAATTCCAAGATTTTTTTCAGAATTTGTGACTTCTAAAACTACTCTATTGGTTGTACCGTCATTTTTGATTTCATCCATAATGTAATCAAATTTTATTGCTCCAGAATTTACATGCATAACTTTACATTTTTTTTTACATTAAACTCCATTAGCCAGGTTTGCGTCCATTTAACCATCTTGTCTAGATCGGATCGTAAACCTGCTCGGTCTTCATCATTTTCAACAACTTTCATGAGCTTTGTGTCATCTGCATACATTTTGCAGATGGCTGATTTTACATGAAATGGCAGGTCATTAACAAATATGACAAAGAGCATTGGTCCTAACACAGAACCTTAAGTTCTTTTTTGTGCACTGCAGGGCAGGTAATAAAAATATTAAACAGTAACAACATTAATTACAATTAATACTTGGTGTAGGTTTGGCTAATAAAACGAAATAGAGAAGATTTAAGATTTTATTATATAAAGGTCAGGCCTACAAACTGAATAAATAACAATTATATTTACAATTTTTCCTAGTTTTTCTCTTGAAACATTTATACAATATATTAAAAACGCCATTTTAAAGCGATTGACGCAATTTTCTTACACAGATTTCTGGTAAGGATTTGAAGGCCCCTGAGCTTGAGGGCCCTGGGGCACTACCCTGCGTAGCCTCTAGGTAGCTACGCCACTGTTAACAATTTGATAATGGCTGAGTTTAGGTTTTAACAATTTATATGCAATTAAAAAAATTGTTCCCTTACAAATAACTTTTATTCATTGATCTTTGTTAAAGCTTTTATTTTACGCAAAGTCTTTAAATAAAATCAAATCAAAAATTAATTATAATGATCGTTTAAAAATAAACGCATTATATGTAAACTAAATGTTATATAAATATTTTTTATTAGGTATGTATTTTTTATTATAAATTTAAACATTTGAAACTATTAAACCGTGTCGTTCTAAAAATCTTTTAAAAGATTATTTTATTAAGTTTAACTTTAAATGATGAATAAGTTTAATTAAATCTTCCCATGATTTAATTGCTTTATTTAATTTTTTGTTTATTTTTTTACAAAGAATTGTTTAAAAGTTTTTTTTTTTAAACTCGACTAATTAAAACATGAAATGATTAAAAATTACTATATTAAAAAAACATTTTTTTAAACAATTTTTTTTTTTTGCAATTTTTTAAAAAAAAGTTGTTCATATAAATTAAAAAAATTACAAGTTGTTTATACAAATTAAAAATAGTTTATACAAATTAAAAATATTAAATTTTTTTCTTTTTAATAATAAATATATTTAGTCATTTATTAAACAACCAATTGAAGTAATTTGTAAAAGCGTTTTGCATAACTTATACTAAATGTTTTAAAAGATCAGTTTCAAAGTAATATTTTTCAAATGCAATTAAAAAACGTAACAAAAATAATTTTTACTTCAAATTTTTTTAGTTTTAATTTGAAGCTAATTTTTTTTTTCTTTTTGTAAGGAATTGTTTTGCTTATTTTTTAGTTTTTTATTACTTTTTTCCTAGTTTAAGTTTAGGTTAACATTTCTTTTTTCAGTGCATTTCTGAAACGTTTAAATCATCAAAACATCTAAACAGTCGTCATCAATATGTAAACAAAAAAAATCATTTGCGTGGTCAGTAAAAGCGTAGATCACACACCATTACTGTCCAAACTTTATTTTGTAAAATTTAATTCTTGTCGGTCAAAATGTCCAATTACATTGTAAATTGAGCAGACAATCTGAGGTTTTAGCCGGACAATGTCCAATGTCCAACCATTATATTGAGCCCTGTATTCTTGTATAATTCACATGAAATGTGTAAAAGCAAATAGTTGCAAAATATTTTGAACTTATTCATAAACTAAAGTAACTGAAGAAAAAATATTTTATAAAATTAATGCTTTAAAAGATTTTTAAGAAGACATGGAAAAATAGTTTCAAACGTTTAAATTTATCATGAAAAATAAATGCTTACATTAAAAAAAAATTATATATAACAGGCCTTGTTACGAGATTTTGCTGCGTAACGGAAAAGCGAAACGTGAATAAATGTAACTTTACCAAATAAAGATATTTACATTGTTAAAAGTTAAATTACGCCAGTTGCGTTTTTACTTTATTGTAATTAAATTTTAAATGACAATAAAAACAATGGTTTTTATTGTCATTTATTTTTATTGTTAGTCCTAGAAACGAAATAGCTTTAAAATGAAATAGCTTTAAATTGAACAATAATGTTATTAAAAAAAACTAAAGTTTTAATGTTGATTAAAAAAAAATTTTTGTATTAAAATCTTATACTTATTTAAACATTATTTTTTTTGCTTTCAAACATTCGATTTATAGTTGTTTTTTTTTTAATTTTTTTTTTTTAAATAATTTAAATTTTTATTTATTGATTGCGTTATTTTTAATAGGTTTGAATTTCGGTTTGTTTTATAAAAAAAATTCTTTAGCAAACGGCTGAGGGAAAACCCAAACATACATTTATAACTCGAGTTTAAAATAACTTTTTTGTATTGACGTTATTTATTAACTTGTAGTTATAAAATGAATAATGCGCTTCTGTAAATAATGAATGAAACTGTAAAATAATGGAAAAAGAAAAACTGGAAAATAATGCGCTTTTGTTCAGCATATTATTCAGACCAGTATTTGGAACTGAAACTTACCTGAAACTTAACTGAAATTGAAATAAAATTATATGTAATACGAACATTTTAAAGAAACTTGAATTAAATTTATTAAATCTTTTTTTACTTTGGAAATTTTATCATAAAAAAAAATTGTAAAACAGAGCATTTTAAAATTAAAAAATTTTAAAATGCTCTGTTTTAAAATTAAATAAAAGAATTTTAATTAAATTTAATAAATTTATTTACTAAAAACTATGATTAATAAAAAAATATTTAAATTTAATAAAATAAATTGAAAGTATTTTTTTTTTATAACTTGAATGTTTTTAAACTTATGAAATATAAAACTTTATATTAATTATGATAAAAAGTTTAAACTCAAAACACTTATTTTTTTTTAACTAATTTTTAACAACAACAACAATAAAAATAATTAAAGAAATTTTTCTTTAAAAAAAAATTTATTTGTTTACAATTGCGGTTAAATGCTTTTACTTACGACTTTATTTTCTTCTGAATAAACGTCACATAAAAGATATCAAATGATAATTTAAATATTCTAAAAGATTAAAGTTTTTGCGTAACGCAAAACTACTGAACGCGTAGGCAAATCGCCTTTTCGCAGGTAAAATGCGAGCTGCGTAACGATTTTTAACAAGGCCTGATATAACATTTATAAATTTACACACGCGTTAATGTAAACAATCATTAAAAAAATAATTAATTATATGGTTTTATTTTAAAGCCTTCGCGTAAAATAAAAAAAGATCAACAATTAAAAGTTATTCATAACAAAACACATTTCTTTATTTATTTATTTATTCTATTTAAAATCTTAAATCTTTTATTTATTCTATTTAATAATCTTAAAGGGACCCCTAACTGCTGAGACAAGTTGTATTCATATTAAAGAATATTTTTAAATAAAACATTTGGGCTAAACTTTTTTGATTAAAACTAAATAATGAATGCAGGCCATTAATTTTAAAATTCACATTTTAGATGAAGCTCATTGTCTACATTTTTTTTGGTTCTCGGAGTTTGTATAATGTTAGCCACAATCTGCAGACTTGATAATTTATTCCATACATGTTTAATTCATAACAGCTTCAGTATATGACATCATCATATACATTTTTTCTTTCAAGATATTGTATTATTTTTTTGCCACAATCACCAAATCATGTTAAATGTATAACTTTTTACTAAATCCCAAAAAAAAAGTTGATACAATTAAAAATTAAACTTATAAAATTTATAAAAATAAAAATTTATTATATAACAATTATTTGCAGTAAAACATACTGGTTTAAACTAAATATAAACTAGATACTAAAAGAATAATTTTACAAAAGCGTATAAATTAATTTAAAGTATTAATTGAATAAAAAACAAGTGACTTGAATAAAACATATAAACTGAACTAAGTAGAAAATAAATATTACACAAATTATTTTACTAATAACCATATCAATCAAACTAAATTAAAGTTAAAACAAATATTTGTACTAAAATATACAAAAAATAGTTATAATATATATATAAAAACAGAAAATCATATCAACTCGTTCGCTATCAGCTAAACAAAAATCTTTTTGTAGCGACTGCACATTTTTTTGAATAAAATTTAAATGCCATAAAATTAAAAATTAATTAAAATTCGAATAGAAAATTTCTTTAAAAGCGTAAGAAACTATATATCCATAAAAACTAAACAAATCGTCGCATTGGTTTGACAAGGATCTAACCGATTTTTTTATATTAGGAGAATAACAAATCTTTTTTTTTTTTTTTAATGTTTAAACAAAAATATTTATATGATTATTTTTTATTTATTTATGTATTTTTACACATCAATCAAAAAAAGAATACATCAACAAATAAAAAAACAATAATATAAATAACTTTAATTACACATTAAAAAAAAAAACTAAAAGATTTTTTTTAATTCTTCTAATATAAAAAATTTCAAATTCATCATTAAACAATAAGAAATGCAAAGTGCTTAAAACCATTGTTTTTATAAATAGTGACTAAAATATTAAATCCAAAACAAAACTCATTTAATGAATAAAAATAATTATTATTGTTCTTTAAAAGACTTTGGTAATTACTTAACTAAATACTTAACACTTCTTTTAACTAAATACTTAACACTTCTACAAGTTAAATTTTACAGCGTTAACGCTGTTTTAGTTTACAACTAAATTTTGAGAAGTTTTTTTTATGAAAGATTATCGAAGATTTTTTAACTTTGTTAAGTGATAAATTTTTTATAATTACATAATATAGCTCTTATTTTTTCTTGATTATGTAGAGAATTAATTAAACCTTAAGAACAAACAACTTATGTGTCTAGAATGGAAATTTATGTAGAAAACAAGATAAATTGTGAAGCACACTCGAAAGCCGCTCCAGCAAGGCCGTCCCGAAGAGATTGCTTTCCTACATTTGCCGACTGCCAACTATAGATCCAATTTTGCAAACTTCAGTTCCAATTTCCCAAATAATAAAATTCGTAAATAAAACACGCTCCTCTACACCCCCCTCGGGATGGCCCTGGCTACCACAGGCTTGAGTTTGTGAAAGAGTTAAAGCATTACTAAATATAAATTAAACATCAAATGAACAATTCTATTAAACCAAATGAACTAAATATATATATATATATATATATATATATATATATATATATATATATATATATATATATATATATATATATATATATATATATATATATATATATATATATATATATACATATATAAATTTTAATAAAGCATAAATATATTTTGTGACTTAGTAAAAAATTATACAAATATTTGATTTTCTGATTGTAGTAGAAAAAATACTTATATCTTTAAAAAAACAACAACAAAAATAACGATCTTAAAAGATATTGTGATGACGCCATATACCGAAAATATTATGAATTAAACACACATGGAATAAATTATCAAGTCTGCAGATTGCGGCTAACTTTATACAGACTCAGAGAACCACAAAAAAATGGAGAAGGCGAGCTTCGATTAAAAGGTGAATTTTAAAATTAATGGTGTGCATTCATTATTTAGTTTTAATCAAAAAAATTTAGCCTAAATATTTTCTTTTAACATTTTCTTAAAATGAAAACAACTTGTCTCGGCAGTTGGGGATCTCTTTAAAACATCAAAATAACCGTGGTCAAGTTGTATAGAAAAAAAACTATTAGTATGGTCAGTTACAGAGTGCAATAGCACGCCATTCCTGTCCAAGCCTGAATGAGGATACAGGTCTATACTCAGTTTAATGAGGCAGAAATCCAATCCTTTATTTAGATTGAAATGCAACATAAGTGAAAGAAATTTACATGTATGCTTGATAAAAGCATGCAATTTCGGTGATAGGCCAAGTTTGATTGACTTATAGGCCAAGTTTGACTGACAGTCAGATTTGTACTCAATTTACTATCTATTATCTAAAACCAAAGTAAACTACTGCTATAAATCACCACTTTGAAGATTTATAAATTAGCTTTATTTCTTGACAATTTCATTTGTTTTGTTTTATATAGGACGTCGTATGTGTCGTATTTATGTAGATGTGTATACGCAGCCTTATCTTATAGATTGGTGCTAGACTTTTAGAGAGTAAATTGTGAACACAATAATTATCAAACTTCTTGAAACATAAAATCTCTCTATTAAATTAAAAAACAATTTTTTTTAAGTTTTACAAAATAGCTTTTATAGAAAAGTATTATTATTTAATATTGGTTTGAAAAAACTTTCAATTTATTGTTACATTTTTTTATTCATTACTAATATTTATCAATAATTTATCCCATGTATTAAAATTAATTGAAATAAACTTTAAATTTATCATTATAATACTAACAACTAAATGCTTATTCAACTAGTGATAAAATAAATAATAAACTATTAAGGAACCAAAATAATATAAAAGCCAAAAAAGAACTGTGGAAATTTTTTGAAAAAAAACTTTATAAGTAAATCAACTAAAAAATTTTAGTTTTTTTTCATAATCTCTTAGAAAGTTTTTTTAATATTTAAAAAAAATTGCTTTCAATTTTAAAACTAAATTTTATGTAGTTGATTAAGACCTGAAACAATAACACGCATATTACATAAATGTGGTAAAAATCAAATACCTTCGCTATCATGATCTCTGTATCTCTTTCGATGATCAGACATTTCAAATGAAGAAATATTATTCAAAATATATTTATTATTTCTAAATATGTAAAACTAAACTATTTTTTTTTTGTATAATTTAATATATAACATCATCATCATTTTAGCTCTCTTGTTTTTGAACTTTGTTAGAAACATAACACCATTACAAACATAAAAATATTTTAGATTTGAGTAAAATAAGATTATAAGCAAGTAAACAAAAGGTCAGTCAAAGAAAAAAAAGAAAACTATTTTGTTGACAGTGGTCTTTTTAGCGCTGGGGAGGTGATTAACATACTGAGATACTAAGTCCCAATAACCAAATGATCAATTCATGTATCAAATGAATCCTACTCATGGTTATTCTTTAACGTTATTTTATGACGTTTTATGTACTGTTTCAATGTCAAATAATAAAAATTGATAAGTGATTTTTAAAAAAATATTTTCCTTTGAATAAAAGCAAATGTCTTTTATAAAGGATGTTTTCCTTTGAAATTAAAGTAACTGTAAAGTGTAAAGTTAATCAGCCCCTCAAAAGAATCATATAATATAAAAATATAATATATATATATATATATATATATATATATATATATATATATATATATATATATATATATATATATATATATATATATATATATATATATATATATATATATAAAAGAATTATATATTTTTTTAAATACCCATATCAAAATGTTTTATAATTAATTTTAATGAAATTAAAAAGTAAACTGAAGCATTACTTATACATAATATGTAAACATTTATAGAAAAAAAAAATTCTATAAATGTATAAGTTAATTTAAATGAGATATTTAACATCTATCAACCCAGAATAGTTTATAATAGATTAATTCAGTTAAATATGCTTTTCTATACCATTCTAATTTACTAAATCCTATAACAGCAGTATAAATACATAAAAATTTAGAATTTGGGCAAATGCTGCATTAGGAAGTTACCTAACTTAATAACTAAAAAACCCTAATCTGAATTTAAGTCTACATGAAATATCAATGATGATGACTATAAAACTTAAATCTAGAGTACTATTTTATGTTTTATAATTTAATATTTTCATTTATTTGGTAATATTATATAATACTATTATTAATATTATTTAAAAAAAAATTATTGATAATGAACATTGTAACAACAGCATTATAAACATTACTTAAAATATTTAAATATCAAATTAAAATAGTTTTATTTCTCTGACCAGAAAGTAAAACTACAATTTTTATTTGATATTTAAATAATATTTTAGGTAATGTTTATAACACTTGTTTATGTTTATAATGCTATTCAGCTGAATGGCCAAGAGGTTTTCTATTCAGCATATGCATTTATATAGGTGCCTAATTTAGTAAAGTTAAACTATTGTATAGTTTGTTAATAAGAAGTTGGTTATTGAAATAAATAAAAGCTATAATAACTATCATCACCATGATGATCATGGTAGTTATTATAGCTTTTACTTATTTCAATAACATGGAAACCATGATAATGAAAAACCATTGATAATGAAAATAAAATGTTTCAGTTTTTCAATGGTAAATAATAATTTTTTTATTGAAAAATATAGAAAAATAAATACTTAAAAAAGTAAAAAGTTAGAGAAAAATAGATAAAAAAAGATAAAAGATGCATTTCTTCCTTCTATCATGCAAAAAAAATGCATATGAAAGTTCCCTGTGCTGCGTATGTTATAAAATTTATGTGCTTTGAGGTATAAAAGGATACGTTTTAAGCTAAAAAAAGGTACTGCTTTACATTACTTGACCCAACGTGGTTGACTTGAATGCACGAAATATTTTGTACTCGCTTCATAAAATGTTGTTAGTCTAGCGGCATGACGACCGTTTTGGAACAACTACATATATCGGCGTCGAACTACCTTATTACTTGCGTACATACTGCCCTACATATATTAATTATCATACCTTATATTTTATTATGCCTTATTATTTATTTTATATATTATACGAACATACACATAAATAGAAATTAAGGACCTTTTTTTTTATTACTTGCAAACAGTGCCGGATCCAGGGGGATGGGGGGACTTTCAGATACTGGTGGGGGATGCATCCCCCACCAGAATCTGAAAGTCCTAAAATAAATTAGAAATTGAGGACCTTTTTGTTTGTTTATTTTAGAAGACGCAAATGTGCTAAAAATACAAAAATATTTTAACATTCCCCCTCCCCCCAAAAGAAAATTCCTGGATCCGTCACTGCTTGTGAAAGCCTCAATTAGATTGATTGCCCCAACGAGAATTACTGTAACTTATGCAATTTGTTTAGACATTATTTCTATATCAGTAGAAATGTTGTGTACGAGCTATTGCGTGGGCTTATTACCTATAATTGATTATTTCCCAGTGGAATCAACTCTTAAAGTAGCAATAAGTGCAAAAATTGAACGACAAACGTTCTTTCAATAAAGTTGACTTCGCGAAACTTAATTTGATGACAAGCCGAATAGTTATTAAATTAATAACTATTAATAATTAATAGCAGTAATAATCACATCTCTAGACACAATGCTAGACACATGGCATTTCTATATAAAGAAAATACTTAACAACTTGATTCCACTTAAACAGTATTCTTTTAGAAAAAACAAGCCTAAATGGATGAATAAAGAATATAAAGACAATAATTATAACTATAACCTTATAACTAAATTGCAAGTATTAATTTTATTTGAATTTTCATGCTATATTTTTCTATACAATGATCTTATATCCGAAGATATTGTTGGCTTAGCATAGGAACAGCCACAAATAGTCATTAAGACTAATCCAAATTAGCGTCCGTTATTCACCAACATTTTTGCGTACCGAAGTACTACTCAAGCGCTGAGATGGCTGTGGCAGGATTTGAATTCGTATCTTACATCGGTCCGAGTTTAAACTTTTTGTTCGACGTTCTAACCAACTGAGCTATCCAGCCACAAGTTGTGGCTGTTTAAAGTGTTTTAAATGTAGAAATGAAAAAAAACGGACAAAATCTTCTCCATCAAAAAGCTTGGACACTCATAAGATAAGTAAGTTTTTCTTCTCAAAAGTATGAAAAGGCGGTTTGAATAGAATATCCTAAACTCTTATGTAGCAGATTTTGTGAGAAATATCTTTGTTAAATTCGTGGTTGCAACATTAAAGATTCATTCGTCTCAAAAAAATGATTACAAAATAGTATACCAGCATATAGCGTACCTGAAAGAAAAAATAGCTACAGGTTACGATGGTTTACCATCTAACTTTGTTATTTTTTAAATTGTTACTTTTTTCTTCTATTTTCTCAAGCATTTAAAAGTTCTTTCGATATTTTTTTTAGATTTTATTAATCAAAACCATAAACTGTATCCTCATGTTATGCTTCCTAAAGTTTTTGAAAATAATGCCAATGATAAGCACACTTGCTGAACATCACCTACAAAAAAAGTACTATGGAATTGAAAAAGTACCAGCTGAAATCAAACAATATATAAATTACTATGATGCTAAATAGACGAATAACTGATGCTAAATAGACGAATATTTAAGTTCAATTTATTCTGTTATAAAAACTTAAGTATACAGTCACAAAATAATGTTTGTAATCTCATACATAATACTTATTTAAAACTTTGCATAATAGTTTCTTAGTCCTAAAAAGGATTCTTCTACCCATCACTGACATAAACTTGGGCTTAATGAAACAATTTTTAAATGTTTTGCTTAAGGATGAATATTGCTTTAAATAATTATTTGTAAAAGAAAATTATGAATTTTCTTTTACAAATAATTAAATACGCCTAACTATGAATTTATTGCAATAAATATGATAGATAATTTCAAAACTCGTGATTATTTAATGAACTTTCATTCCAGGGGCGGTTGAATATCAACATAATGGGTGATTACTGTTGTTTATAATAAAGTGCGTAACATCGGTGCACACCTCCCTACAACAGTGTTTATGTTTGAAAAAAGTGTACATGTCCAAATTAAATATTTCTAGCAAGGTACGACTAAAGTATTCACTAAAAATGTTTCACAAAATTTGGAAAGCATGTCCCATCAAATAACAGTTTTGGTTTTTTTTTTTAGTTAAATAATTTTATAATTAAAAAAAAAGTAAAAATTATTTCTTAATTCAATTATAATTCTTTTTTTTTAATTTTTATTGCGTAAAATAAAATAAAAGTAAGAAGCTTTTTAAAAAATATTGTTAAATTGTAAATAAATTATCAATTTATAAAATTAATTATAATAAATATAAAAATTAACATACAGTTAATTTTTTGGGCCATTGTTATTTTAATTTTTAATTCTTTATTTTATAACAATATATATTACATAATTTAATTATATTATATAACTTACTTATCTTATATTATTTAATTATCTAATATAAATTAATCATATTACACAATATATATAGATTTTATAATGTTAAATTATATAATAATGTTTATATTATATATTTGTGTATTACACAATATATATAAATTTATATTTTTGTTCATAATATATTGTATACTATATAACTAAATGTAATATAAATGTATAATATAAGTATGCTTCTTAATCTAGCTAAATGTTAAATAAAAAATATTAATGAAATGGACGCAATATCAAGAGCGAATCGTGTTAAGCACAAAAGAAAATCAATAACACCTGAGTTTAAAGAAAATTATGGTAGATAACAATGGGTCTTTAGTTGAGTACTTCTTAGCAGTAGACCTTGATTTCTATAAATCAGACTTTAACTGTGCGATCTGTTATTCTTGTTAAAGATGTGGAGAAACTCACCTGGAAAAAGATAGAAAAAAGAAAACAAGATGCTTTTAATGTTCAGGTGAAAGTATTTGTTGACGTAGGTGGAGGTTTCTTCAAGCTTAGAATTGGTACTGTTGATGTGCAAGTTCCTTTAATGTTGGTATCACCAAGAAATTAAGCTAGTCAGAACCTTAAAAAAGAAACGTCCGTTGATCAGACATCTCAAGAATCTCAGGAATATTGGGACTATTCCTGAGATTCTTGAGATGTCTGATCAACGG